TATAAATGCACACCCTCTCTAAGTGCTCATTTTTGAAATTTTTTACTATGGTCCCGAGGGGGTGCATTTAGAGAGGTCCCTCTGTACTTCATAATATTATTATTCAAAAAGCTAAAAATATATGTATTATATACAGTAATTTATAATTTATTAATAGTTTATTTTATTATAAATTTGTTAGATTTATATAGATAACTCTTCAGTTCCCGTGGTACTAAAAAAAAACAAACTATATAGCTAGTTATATAGTAATAACAAATATCTACAATAAATAGCTTTTTTTTTTTTTTTGTTAGATATAAATTTTAAAAATTTGCTCAAAAATATGCTGTATAACAACCACAAACAATTTCTTATTCTAAGTTTAATAAAATACCAAAATCTAAAAAAGCTAATTAAATTATAAAAGGTCAAACAAAACTAAACAAGTTATAATAAGTCAAATTTTATTTTTTAAAATGTATTGCTGTATTTCAAAAGGGTTTAAACTTTACCCATTTTATGAATTTCTTGCGTAATGAAAAAACTGGATACTTATTAATGGATTTCAAAATTTCATTTCAATCAAAAGCATTTTATAAACAGGCGAAAAAGGTTTGTATACTGTTTTTTAACAATTGCAAAGATTTAAATTGACTTGTTTTTTTTTTTCCAGACGAGGCTATTTCTTCATAGTTTTGTATTTGGTAACGGTTAGAGTTGTTTTGAAATTCAGAATAATAATATACGATTTCTGATTCACATCATATTCTATCATAATTAAACTAATCTTTAATAATCTGAAATTGAAAATTTGTCCTCTAATTTATGTGATTATCGAGTCGAGAGCAATAAAGTAATATTATTGGAATGATGATTGGAATATAAATATAAATACAAATACGAAAGTATAATACTATGATAATTTTTCATAGTGAAAGAATACCATACAATTTAAACGATACAATTCTACAAGTCGGCAATTTATAACATTACAAAACTCCTAAAGGATCTTCAACAGGAATCGCAGGTGTTACATTATTATTAGCTTTTTTCACACTATTCATTGAAGATGCTGTTCCTATGTTTTCACTTCTATTACGTTCGGAAGGAGATGTATTTTTCGAACGTTTTTGTGTTAAGTTTGGAGAAGTTGATTTTTCAAATTGGTCCTGATCTTCTATTGGACCATCTAGATATCCATAGTTCGTACGTTCTGAAGAATAGCTAGATAATCCACTAATACCTATGATGCTAGATCTTTTAGGGTTAAATAATGAATTATCATCATCTTCTGTGCAACCTTCAACCATCCAGCTATATTTTGAATTCGATACAATGGACGATTTTGGTGTACTAACACTACGCTTATCTGAATCATTCAGTGTATCATTAAATTTCATCTTCGATTTGGGTAACGAAATTGATGTTGGCTTTACTCCTCTGGGCGATGATCGAGATTGAGTAGTTGATATTAAACTCGGTTTTTCGCTAACTGAATTAGATATTTTAATTTGGTCAGCTAACGGATTTGATTGTTGTAATGATGTAGATTGTGATGATGTTTCGTCTGAGAGCGGCGACGAAAATGAAGACGGTGGCGGTGATGAACGAGAAACTTCGGAGTCTTTTGTAAAAGTAGAATCTAAATTAGGTGTTTTAAGTGCATTTACAGAGGGTGCAATCCTTTCTTGCTTTGTTTGAACTTCTTTAGTAACAGATACAGTTTCGTCTTCCGTTCCAGCCATACTCACTACACTAACACCATCATCAACAACTTCCCAATGATCATGATCTTCTGCATTGTTATTTGTCAAATCTAGAATGTGGGGATTGAATTCTTTAACTGACCCATTAAGTACATCTCTGATATGTTTAAGTCCATGCAAAACGTTAAGAATCGAAATATCATTTGACGTTGGTACGTTGGATTCTTCATTGTTATTACCCGCAATATACTCGAATGAAGAACGAGATGTTGTTCCATCGGAACTTTTTTCGATCTTATCGGCATCTCCTGCATTAACATCTTCTCTAGATTTTGTTTTTCCCAATAACTCTTGTTCAAGAATATTAATACTCCTTTGTATAACGATTCCCATCTGCCGATTTTGTTCCTTAAGCTTTAAGAAGTCTTCTGAATTTTGATGGGATTCTGTGTCATGTGCCATTTGTTGATAGGAATGTGCATATCTCTGGGGAAAATCTGACGTGCTTTGACGTTTTCCATGATCATATTGACCATCGGGACGACGAAGAACATTTTTCTGCAAGAAAAAAAGAATTATGCAGATTCATGTAATCCAATATCTGATACCTTATTTGTAAAGCTAATACAATAAATAATTTACTTTTACTTCTCCTACCGCAGACAAAATAGCTTTATTAAGTATCACGGCACTATTCTTAGTTACATGAACAAATCCATCTGGTACCAAACCTTCAATACGATTTGATTCTTTTTGGACAGGAATCTGAATGGGAATGACGGGTTTTCGCAACCTTATTGCGTTTTGTTGAATTATATAATTACCACCTTCAGGTGACAAATGATCGCGAAGATATATCGCTTGCGGTACAAGCACTTCGATATCATTTATTGAAGGATAACGCATTAACATGCTTAAACATCCTGCATAATCTGATTCAAGTACTGTCAAATAGTTGAGAGGAATGTTTGTTAGCATTGAATAATAGTCAAATATTATAGTTTATATACTTACGCTCATCACGAATACGCAACATCAGTGCCAGACATACAAAATCGACAATTCTTAGCGTCGGATCTTCAGCAAACATTCCATCCCATAATACTAAAACCTGATTTATAGGAAACTCGCGTCCAAAAAGAAGTCTTATCCAGCGTCTGTAATGTAAAATAATTGTTAATCATAAACTGTAGCATTCAATTAAACGCGTGTGGTTAGTCACTGTAACCCATTTTATCAAAAGGAATTTATAAACATGAAGGATAACATGATGATTGCGATGTCTGAATACCTTCTGAAAGCTTACTTGCCTTGAAAAAAGGGTCAGTGACAATATATACTAAAATTTAGGACACAAAAAAAAAAAAAGAAAAAAAGGACATACATTCCATAAAGTTGTGGTTCAATTTCTAAATTTTTCAAATGATTATATAATTCAGTATCAATTGTTCTGAGATACTCCTCATGAATTTTATTACATTTCATGACTACGGGTGTTAATTTTGCGGCCTTTTAATAAATTTTAATAAATGGTTTACATGATATAAACTAATAGCTATGTACAAATAAGTTACATGCGATAATAAAGATATTAACGAACCTCTGCTTGTGCTTCCTTTATTAAGCGAGCATAATCAACATCTGAGCTTTGACCCGAACGCTACAGATACCAAACACTTAGTAACATTATGTGAGAAAATATCAATTGTTACAAGAGTTAAGCGCAAACCTTAGCAGGTCTACGATTAAACACTTCATCATTATATTCGTAATAAGCTTTGGCGGATTTCATCAACGAAGAAAAAAGCGCAAAAGTATCATGTTCTATATAATCTGCACTCAACGTTTGTCTGATAATAGCATCTTCACTATTCTCCATTGCGTATCCACTTGTACTAGACAAACTTTCATTATCAACTACCCATAATATTGGAGCCAAAAGTTCGTGCATTCCTTGACGATATGACACGTCAGTATTCATTTTACAATAAATGAAAAGAATATCAAGTAATCGATTTTGAACTGATGTAGAACGAAAATATTCATTTTCCGGAAATCTATAAATTTAATTAACTATTATCAATAAACACACAAATAAGTATAATATATATTTATAACGTGACACTTTACGTTCTTTCCACGTCTTGCTTAATAATTTTTCGTAATTCCGTATCTTTGAAATATTCTTGCCAAGGATTCTAAAAGATTACCGTTCGAAACATTATGCTTATATTTTAAATTATTCAATAAAATATTTAATTGGATTTGATTTGATCACGTACAGCTTGGTCCAAAGATAACGGATTATTAACACTTAAATCAGTCGAGTTACTATCATTTTCATTATCAGTAGTTGGACTCGTAATATATTTTTGGCGAAGATCCGCATAATGTTGTCGTTCTTTATTAAGAGTAAGAGACCAAGTTTCGGTATCTAGACTTGGCAAATAAGCCAAATATAACTATTTACATAGATTGTTAAGAGTATTAATCAGTTATAATATTAAAAAATCGTTCAAAGGAAAGAAAAACTTACCTTCCAGCAAATAGATCTTAGACCCTGAGAACAAACATTTCCTTTATAACCTTTTTCACGTAAAGAGGTTAAGGAAAGTAAGGGATCCTTAAAAATAACGTCCCACTTTGTTCTAGATAATTAATGGCGCAAACCGGTTATTTACTTGCCATATTCCTGAAAATCTAGGAGAAAAGGGGAATAAAAACATACTTCACTTCTTCAAAATCCATTATTCAAGAAATAACAGACTAAAGTTAAATTTTTGTGTTTTTATAATTATAATATAATATTGTTGTATTGTATAGTGAGGGTTGTACAATTTACAAAAAAAAAATTGTGAAACAAGTATTATGAAACATTACGATTTATAGTATAGTGGGTCTCGTCGCATTTTAAAAGGAAAAACGGCGGATGATAATGCATCAAGCAAGCAAGTGCGTTCGCCCAGCTCATGAAAACTTGCACTATAATGGCATCAACGGTAAATTAAGGTCAAATTAACAATCATTAAAAAGCCATCTGATATGCAATTTTCTGCCAATTTCCTTACGATTATCAACACATTTTATTTACTCTACTATATAATCGAAGATAAATAACTATATAATAACTAATACATATACACAATACAAAAATTACAAAATAATTAGTTTCTACAAATGTCCTAAAAAAAATTATCATAAATTTTCAACTATATCGTCTAATTTTACTAGTCTTCTGCCGGAAGACCATCATCAACTATAAACATGTAAAGTGTTAAATAAAGTGTTAATTTTGTGGTTAATAAAAAAAAAGGCATTTACTCGTGGTGATATTACCTCTTCTTCTGTAAATAGTGATTTCTTGTTGTTTGAAGTACCTCCGGTTCTCTTCGTCAACAAGAACAAGATTGAGATAATAACGCGTGGAGAATTTTTTGTTTACATCACGGAAGGTTGGTGTCAACTCAAATCCACCAAGAAACAGACGAATGGGAATCGTCTCACCTAATCAATAAATATGGATCCAAGTTATTAGTCATTCGTTTATCATCAGAAAATATGCCATACATGAACTCACCACGTACTGGTGCACCGTCCATAATCTCAAATTTAGTAATCGTCTCACTTTCATTATATTGATTTGGTGCTAGATAATTCAATAGACAAAAATTTATATATAATTATAATTCGACATTTTATTTTATTAAGAATAATTACCTGCACCAGTTGTTTCCCGACGAATAATAGACAGTTCCATATACCTAATCTTTATACGAACAAGTAGGAAGTAAATCTTTCCTACAATGACATCTTTAAGATGGTATCTATATAAATTGAATAAATTATTAAAAAATAATCGTATTGATAAAATATTACCGTTTATCACTGTATATAATGCCTGGGGGTATTTAAGAACTCCTACTTTTAGAATTGAATAATACCTGGGGTATACTTTGTACAAAAACGAGTATTATATTTGGGGATATATTGAAAAAGTAATAATTTATACTTCCAGGTATTAATCAAGAATTAGACCTGGATGGATGGTGAAAGTATTCGGGTCTTAATTATAGAGGTACTATTTTATGGGATACTATATACAGTGGTGGTAAAAAAGTGGTAAACGTGTTTAAAAAAGATAATGATAATACCTTGATTTGTTATATTCGAATTCAATATGTAAACAGTCTTCGATACCCACTTCCATCTTAATAGAACTATTACTATCTGGTGGCATACGATACGAATAAACCCATATGTCTTTCTCGTTCACAATATCCGTTAAACGCCTCGAAATAGTAACGCGTACGAAGTATCTGAAACATAGATTAGACTTGATCAACGTCTTAATTCAAAGCTACATGGAAATAATTCTATAATAATTACCTCAACTTGACATTTATTCCGTGATAACTTTCATATGGTTTTTCAACGTTTTTAAATTCAAAGTCAAAATATTGTGGTTGACGCATTTCACCGGGTACAGCCAATTCTTGAACAAGTGCAGTAAATTCATAATGGTTACCACGATCATAGAATAGCTCTACATTTATTAACATAATTTCATACGCAATTAGATCAATTAGCGCGTAATTATATGGATTTTTCGATTTATGGATGAGTCGAACCCTTACCAATGTTTCCAACAAATTCAATTTTAATGCCCTGATGTTCAAGTTTTTTGCCGTCTCGAGGTCTAATAGTAACCTATGAAAATTAAGATAATTTCAAGGTTGTTAGTATATATTTTTAAGACAATTAATTTAGCCTGTAATAAAAAGAGTCGACTTACCCTTCCGGCTACTGTCTCACCATCAAAGTATAAAGGAAATTTCTCCCGACGGTCCTTATCAATTTTTACTTCCACTAACTTTCTATTTTCTTCACCGTTGAATCGAACGTCAATATCAACTGGCGCGCTAAAGTTAAAAAAACCCTATTTGAGACATAAAATTAGCTTTTAGATACCGTTAATAACCAGTCAATTTAAATCAAAATCAGGTAAATACTAACAGCCATAATCTTCTCAAAGGCTAAGAGAATGACAATAATAGTATAGGAATTAAATATGTAAGACTTATGATTACTATATGTAGTAGCCTGCATGCTGGCATCATCTATGTCCACGTGCAAACATGGATTTCATTTTTCATTTCTTCTATTATAATCAATCATGGATGGACATATCGTTGACGTGCATGCACATTTGTATCCTTCTTCCTTTCCAACTACGCCAATCGAGCAAATTTTAACTCGAGCAAAGGCTGTGAACGTATCTTCAATTATTACCGTTCCAGAAACACTAGAGGATGCTCAAAGTATTTTTGAATTGAAGAATGATTTAACGTTATCAAACTCACTCCGAGATATGATCGAGCCATGCGCGGGCTTGCATCCAGTCACACCGCAGGGAGCAATGAGTTTAATTAGAGTGGATCAAGCAGATAGCATTCTTCAGTTTATAAAAGATAAATCAGCGGAGTTGGTTGGTATTGGTGAAGGTAATATAAAATTATATAATTTTTTATTCATTGCATATTTTTACTGATTTATATTTTTCTACATAGTTGGCCTGGATTTTAGTCCACGCATTATGAATAATGCTATTGCTGGTTATCCAGATTTAAAATTGGACGTTGAGGAACTTAAAAAAGTGCAACGTACCGTCTTGGGGCGTCACATAGATCTATCACTTCAATTTGATCTTCCCCTTAATGTTCACTCTCGTTCTGCAGGTCATCATACTTTGGATTGTTTGCGAGATTATGGTGCAAGGAAAGTTGTAATGCACGCATTTGATGGTCAAATAAAATATGCAAACAGGGGTGTTGAAATGGGGTTAGTTAATCAATGAAGCATAGTGTTATGTGGTTCCTCTTTTTTTTTTTTTGTTTTTTAATGAATTATTTATTAAAAATTCATAAATCGCTACGATATTAAGGTTCTTTTTCTCGATACCACCTTCAATAGTTCGTTCACCTCAAAAACAAAAGTTGGTAGCTGCTATTCCTTTATCAAATCTATTACTTGAAACTGACTCACCAGCCCTTGGACCTGAACAAGGCGTTGACAATGAACCAGATAGCGTAGTAATAAGTGCCACAGAAATTGCTAAAATTAAAAATATGGATGTTAGTGATGTGGTAATTGATCGATTTATTATTGTCATTCTATTCGCTTTCTATTCGCTTTATATAAATATATTATCAATTTATAGATTCGACAAACTACTGAAAATGCGTACAAATTGTTTCCGAAAATCAAAAAGAACTCTATTTAATTACTATCTACAGTATTGTAACTCTTAATTTTTGAGACTCCTTTCCGGATAAAAACAGATAAATTTCTCATCATAATGCTAAGTAGCACTATTGAAAACTAGATTCTATAAAATAAAATTTATTAAAGATGTAAGAATACAAATGAATTTTTTCCATTGCTAATTGCTCTATTATTTACAGTATATAATAGTTGATTTATAGATCTTAGAGTTAGTGATGCAAAACGGCTCTGCAGAACCGTAAGCCGATCGGCTTAGCTGAGTTATTTAACGGCTCCACGTAATACAAAGCTGAGCCGTTAGTTAGCTGAGCCGTTAGTTAGCCGAGCCGGTTTAGAGCCGTGAGCCGATTATATTAATATGACTCTACGTAATATGTTGTAACCACTATATATAGTAACTGTTATGACATAACTAATATAATAAACTCGTATTGATAATAAACTTTCATATTGATAATAAGCTTTCGTATTTGTAATAAACTATAACAATATGTCGTAAACTATTTGTTATAAATATATTTTTTTTCTTTTTGATACTTACAGTAATCGCCCAAATGGATCCTAACGACCTTTCTTATATTAATTCCCAAAATTCACAAGACACTTTGCAAGAAACTTCTGATAATAATATAGTATCCTCAAGTACTGATGTTGCCGTAATTTCCAAAAATAAAAAAACATCCGCAGTTACACCATATTTTATAAACAAACCGGGTGATAATACTACGGCTATTTGTGTTATTTGTAAAAATACCTATAGCAAAAACACAGCTACAGGTGCATTGTGCTAGTGATTTGAACCGAGAAAAATTTCCTTAATCGGTTAACCAAGCCGAATTATTTTATACAACCGGTTGTCAATCGGTTGAGATTAACTATCTCTACGTTTTGTTTTATCTTCAAATGTTTGTCTCAACTAGAGCTGCAGACATTAGAATATCAATGAACATATACTATGACATTTGACGTGACATATATAACATGATGTTTAATATGATTATATATAAATTTTATATGATGTAAAGAGTGACGTACTACCTTGGACCTTCTAAATGTTTGCAGCTCTAGTCTCAACTTGTTCATCTTTTATTTTCTTTCTGTAACTTTTCAGAGCCTTTGCTTCCTCCTTATATCATTTTCATATTATATCGATCCTGCCAACCGATTATCTAATTCTCAACTGGATGTACCAGGTTAACCGATTAAGAATTTTCTCAACCAGTTGACCGAACTTTATTCAGCTTGGGTCGATTAACCGATTATAGGCCAACCAATTCAAATCACTACATTGTGCAAACATCTTGATTTATAACATTCAGGCTGGAGTACAATTGAACTTTATACACTTACATGTAATTCAATTTCAATTTAAAGCTTGATAGCTGATCAAAAAGCACAGTTCAACCTTTTATTAGCCAAATGAATTGTTTCCAATACATTATCTTTTTCAACTGTTAAAAATAAAGCATTAATTACTTTGTTATAATATCTTAATACTACTATTAAGCTACCTTTATGTAAGACAATAAAATTAATTGTGTAAAATTTTTTCTATTTAGTAAAAAAAAATATTCAAGCCCTTTTGGGGCAAATTTCTAGTCAAATATCTATAATATTAGATATTTAGACTTCTTGTACAAATATACCTTTTATTAGTATTACAGTATATTGAATCAACAACAATTGGAATTTTAAAAAGATTTTACTTGATATTAGCATATTTTTATATCCATATACTGATAAAAATATTGAGATTCAATTAAAATTTATTTTAACAATCTTTAATATTAATATAAGAATATTTGGTATAACTACTAATAATAGATCAAATATAATTTTAGCAATATATTAATTAAAAATGCATTTTTCTATACAAAATCTTCATTTTTATTCACATTATTATCTTGTACATATTTTGCATCTTATTGTTATTATGGAAATGGTACTAATTAAAACATCAATTGAAAAAGTATGCAAATTTGTAAAGACATTACATTATCATTTACAATTACTCAAGATTTTAAAGAAATTAGGCAATCTGTTGATAAGGATGAAACAGTTCACAAAATTTTACAATATATATCAACTAGATGAAATAGTACTTATAGTATTTAATATTATCAGTTTATATATATATCTATACCCACAACAATTGTAATTATTATTAGACATCATAATAATCTTGCTTTTTACAAGCTTACAATACAAGAAGATTTGAATTTTCAAGTTATAACTCATTTTTTAAGACTAGTTTATAAAACTACAAATACACTTTCTGATAATATATATGTAATATTAGGTTTTCTATTTTTCTAATAGATAAAATTATTGATACTATTAAATTATATATTGCAAACACATCAAGTTCTTCATTTCTTAAAAATGCTGCAACTCAAATATTAGAAAAAATTGAACAATATATAGTTCATATATATGATGAGGCTATATTTATAGTATCAATTTTAGATTATTAAATTAAATTAGAATTAATACTAGTTAATTTAAACACTTCAGAAAATTATAATTATTTTAATCATATTCTTTTAACAGAATACTCAGAATCTTGGCAGCAAAGTAGAGATTTATACTAATAGCTAGGTAGCAATTCAAAATATAGAAAGTCTAAACAAACCAAGATCTGCAAGAATATGGTGCAAAGCCAAAAACACAGGTCTGCTAGGGAAGATAGATGAAACTATTAGCATAAAGTATCTATCTGTAAAGCTAATTAAAGTGAAGACTCACTCTGGTATTAGATATAATAAAAAAGCAAACTCTTTGGCCAAAGAAAGTCTAAACCTCTCAGAAGTTACAATCCTTAATACAGAAGATGTCTGTGGTTTAGTTATGCAGCCAACATGATGCTAAAAAAAGATAGAAGTACCAACAAGACAGTTTATTAAGAAAATACTTAATACCTTTCACAAAGCCGAATAGACCTTTATTAGAAACTGAAAAAATGAAAATTATCAAAAATAAAATGAATTAAAAGACTGGAAAGCTTTTACAAATATATAGAAAATTATATGTAAAAAAAGAGCTTGTAATATTAAAGAAAACAAAATATAGACTTTCAGAATCAAAGCAATCAACCAAACTCTGCCTACTCTCCAAAAAAGAAAAAAAGACTACAAAGCTTTATATAATGAAATTACCTGTCAGAAATATCTAAAAGAACTAGAGACTTTTGAATACCTTACGCATGCTTAACAGACTCAAAGCTTTGGACTACCGAAGAGAATATTATAGTTCAAGAGATCTAGAACTCTCTAGAAAAAGAAGAACAAGATAAAATAGAAAAGCCTTATCTGCAAAGTATACTACTAGGAGCAAACCAAATGAACACTAGAAGAAGAGAACTCTTGGCAAGAGAAATATTGACAATAGAGTACAAAGCAGTTCTTGAAAAGAAAAACCTTAGAAAGAAAATGATAAACTCTATACTGCGATCCTAGTTAGACAAATGGATGATACTTTTTCAAGATAAGATTTGGAGCCAAAGGTATGATGAAACTTGTGAATGGGAAAAGAAGATAAAAATCACATCCAAGAAGAAGGAAAAAGAAACTCGACCCAAAAAGAAGTCCAAAAAATCCAAAAAAAAGAAAGATAGAAAGGTATGAAAAACTCCGAGAAAAGAACTAAAAAGGAAATAGAATAGGAGGAATATATATATATAACTATAAAAGAAATAGACAACTGAATAAAAACAGGAAATAGTAGTTGGTAGAACAAAAACTAAAAAGATTATGACAGGCCATAGAACCTAGTTAATGATTTACCAAAATAAGACAAAAGTGTCAAATTTAGTAATAAGACGAATTCTACTTTGGCAGGTCGCATATAGGTACTACTGGTAACCAGGTAAGCCATATTTTAATTGTAAGATACTCAGTATCAGAAATAGTATTAGCATTAGTATATATAATTATTACCCTTCTAATAAAATATGATATGATCACCAAAAAAAAAAAGAATACTCAGAATCTGCAAATATAAATACAATAACAAATACTAAACAAATATCAAGCTCAACCACTTATACTAAACAAGTAGCTTAAAAATAGCAACAAGTTAATACATTAAACTATATAAAGAATAAGCTTATTTAATATTTAAATGAAGCTATTTTACTAATAAATATTAATCTACTAGAGTAGTGAAAACTTAACAGTTTTTGCTTTTTTAGTATATTCTAAATAAAAAAAGATTTTTTCATAATTCAAGCAACTTCGATACCTTCTAAGTAAATATTTTCAAAAGCAAAGGACACAATTTAGATTAAACATGCGCATCTTTCTGAAAAAGTATACAAGCTTTATTTGTACTAGCTTATGGCTAAAACATGGCATTAAGTTTTAAAACTAATATTTTTAAAAAGATTTGATTTTCATTTTATTTTTTTTAAAAAATTATTTTTTTTAAAGTTTTTTTTTTTTAAAAAAAAAATGTTTTTTAAAAGATTTTTTTTTTTTCAAAAAAATATATTTTTTAAAAAAAATTTTTTTATATATATTTTTATACTATTGCTATTTTACATATTTGCAAATTATTAATTATAAATATCTGTATATACTGTATATTAATACTAAATTCAATTGAAAACAAATATTCTACAATGATATAACAATATATATATATATATTTATGTTTTTATATTATTACTGCTTTGCATATTTGCAAATTATTAATTTTTATATATGTATTAATGCTAAATTTAATTAAAATAAGTTTTCTATAACAATATAACAATACAATTTAGAGCCATCAGCTCTTAAATAGCTAGCTAAAAAATAGCTTAGCTAAAAAATGGTTTAACTAATATATAACTTAGCTTTGTTATAGCAAGCTGTTAGCTAAGCAGAGCTAGTAATTTGTATTACTATTTAGAGTACTCTGAGTTAACTAGTTAATCCAATTACAATTATATCATTATAAAAATCTAGTATGATTATTAATAATAAAATTATTAGTGAATGGTATAATATATAACAGTAGTTTATATATATCACTTTTTGTATTAAACAAATTGCCTTACTTTTGTTTTTTTTCTTTTTGCTATAATAAATCTTCATTCTTTTTAATCATTTGTATATTATATAATATGAAAATCTGTGTAATAAATTAGTAATAAGTGAGTAAGATATTATTATTTTTAAAAAATTTTTGATTTTTTAATCACTATAGATATCACATATAACAAAATTAAATAAAATCAAATTTTAAGAGTACTCTAACTATAGCAAAAAAAGTTCAAGTTAGATAATAACTGATAAAAATTTTTAAGCTTATTTAGATTAGGGTTAGGGTTTGGATTAGAGTTAGGATTAAAAAGTATAATAGATAAAATTATCTTTCTAAAATTTTTTGTTAATATGCAAAAGGTTGTTTCTTATAAAGTTTGTTGAGAAATAAGCAATTTCTTCTAATTTTCTTTAGAGCAAACATTTGTTTTAAATTTTTTTGATTATATTTATAGATAAGAACAAAATTATTTTGGGCTTTAAACCCTGAAATTAAAATTTGAAGACAAAATTGTTTTGATTTACTTTTACTTAAAAGATAAAATTTTTTGATACTTTTTTTAAATAGATGAAATTATAAGAAATATAATTATATAAATTAGATTTGCTCTTTTTTATAATAAATTTTAATTTGCCTTAATAAAGACAAAATAGGCTTTTTTTGAAAATCTATTTTCATAGCATCTATAATCATATTATATTACACTAATTTGGAAATTGTTATTAGTTAATTTACTATAAATTATTATATAATATAAACTTTTTTTGCTATGTTAAAACATAGCAGGCTTTATTTGATTGGATAATCAATATGAACTGTTATACAATATGTTTTATATATTTGCATAATATATATTTTGCTATTACAAAAATAGTTTGGTAGACACAGATATGAATTGATGAAACTCAATACTAATAAAAATGAAAGAATACCTTCTGATTTATAAACTTTTAAAGTAATTTAATAATTCATAAAGTAATTTAGAAGTTGAATAAGAAGTATATTTAAACATTTAATTTTAACTTATAAGTATAGTATAGTAAATCAATTAAACATAGCAATTTATGCTGTTTTTTATATATTTTGTGAACTTATTCTTCATAATCCCAACTAATATAGAAATCTAACTCTATTGTAGGCTAAAAATATGTAGTTAAAAATAATAAAGTTTATAAATTTTATAAAAAAAGTTAAAGCAAAGTAATAGTATCATAATTGTTATAGTAATTATTAAATAAATTAAAGATCTTTTAATATTAAAGCTAGTACTAAATGTTGCTTTGATTATTTTATTAGCTATTTGTATTTTGGAATATAGTCATTCCTCTTTATAATCACACCTTTGAAATACAAAAAACTGTAATTATAAAGAGATGTGATTAATATAAAGATTACCTCTATATAGTCACAATTATATTACAAAATATAAAAAAGTGACTATATAGAGGTTTTTATTTAAAATAAATCTTTGAGAAATTTTATTAAATATATGACAACAGTACAATGACTTTATATTGTAATTAGGCTTCATAGCTGTGATAGCAATACAAAGAATTTATATTGTAATTAGGCTCTATAGCTGTTGCAAGCAGTACACCTTTTTTTATTCTTTCTTGTATTACTACTCTGTCGATACACTATTTCTATAGCTAGTTCTATGTAACAAACTACTTAATACAATGATTTTTATAATATTGCTTAATTGTCCAAAGCGTAGCAAAGGACGATCTATGGTGTAGTGATAGACCAGAATTTGTGTATAATTATTAGTATTTGTAGTCGATTTTGTATAGTTGATTTTTATCAACTTTGCCGGCTTAGTTAGCCGATTTTCTAAAAAATCAACTTAGTTGATTTTATATTAGATTATATTAAAGTACCAATCAGATTCGATACATTACCTCTCTTAGTATATAGTATTAAGAGTAAGAGCCGAAAATTCTAAAAAAAAAATCAACGAACATAAAATACGAACAAGATCGCAACAAAAATTTGATGAAATTGTTGATAAATTCTGAAGGTAAAAAATATTTATCAACTCTGGCTTAGCCAGCTAAGCCGATTATTAAATATCAATTTAGTTAAGTCAATAAATAAGGATCGACTACAAATACTAATTTAACAGTGTCTGTTTTTCTAGTATTATTATTTTTCTAAAATTGTAATTAGTATCTAATTGTTTCTAACATATTTAACTTTATATTAAAGTAATAAAAAATAATTGTATTAATAAAAAAAAAGTTAAAGTTAAAAAAAAAAAAAAGAAACTAAAAAAAAATTTAAATTATTATAATTATAGTAAATAAAACATTTTTTTAAAAAAAAATAATAATTTAAAAAAAAATAGTTTGAATTATAGCTAATTAAAATTCATGGACCACCCTAATAGCTAAGAGTTTATTCTAAATTATCATTGAGATGGTGGGTGGTGGGCAATTATAAGTTTTAGATTATGTATTATACTGATATTATCAAAATATATAATCTAAAACTTGTAATAGCTCACTACCCACCATTTTGACGATAATTTGAGATAAATTTTAGAGTAATTTATGAATTTGAATTTAGCTAAAAAAAAAATATCATTTTTAAGAATTATCATTAGGTATAGGAAGACTTTTGTATGATTGGCTATTTCAATTTAATTTTACATTATTTATACAGTTTAAAGTACTTTTTAAAAAAAATAAAACTAAAAAGAATAAACAAAAAAAGCATATAAAAAAGTTTTATTAGAATTGTAGAACTTCACTATTAGAAATAATCTAAATTATTTCTGGTTTTAGAGAAGTTAGCATAATATAGCCAATTATATGAAAGTTTTCCTATAAAATAATGATTGATGGACACTTATAAGTTTTAGATTATATATTATATATATTGATATTATCAAAATATATACATAATCTAAACTCGGAATCATCTACTACCTGCTATCTTGATGATAATTTGAGATAAATCCTTAGGGTTTGGTAAATTAATATAGTTACAGTATGTACTATGTTATTTGATATAATTATTTAGTACTATAATTCTGTAATGCTATTACTCTATTATATTAAAATACTATATACTGTTATATAGTATTTAAATATTATAATGTTATTGCAGTATTGTGTTAAAATATTGCAATTGCCACAATAATATAGAGCAATATTTCACTAGTATTATATTGTTTAAAGTAATTATTAATTACTTTAAACAATACAATACTAGCAGAATATTACCCTATATTATTGTGGTATTGTAGTATTTTAACACAATACCGCAATGGCATTATAATATTTAGATATAACAGCATTAGAGGTACGGACATTTAGAATTTTGAAGATTGCTACCTTAGCAAAAATATCACAGCAATATGGTATATTTGCTGTATAAGTAGAAATGCTGCATGCTATATGAATATTGTTAAATTAAAAAAAAAAACAAAAAAAAATTAAAAAATCAGTTTTTTTAACAAAATTTCTCTAGCCAATCAAATTTTAAGATCATATGTACAGTAATTAAGTTCAAATTTTAATAAATTATATAATCTTAAAATTTTGATTGGCTGGCAAAATTTTTTCAATTTTAAAGCTTAATTTATTTTTTATTTAATATTTTTTTTAATCATAATTTATTAAATTTTTATCTTAGTCTTGATTTTAATTTAACCAGTTTTTTTTAATATTATTATTTGCATTAATAATATTTAATATGCTAAAAAATAATTATTAGTTTAGTCAAGGATTTTGTCTAAAATAAACAGTATAAATTGCACCTTGTATAGTATAGAAATATGATTATATAATTCTAGATCACTTGGTTGCATGAAAATCATATGCGATTGACCAATTAAATTTAACTACAACAAAATTTGCTTATTAATTAAAAGAAGTTAGATTCATTTATCTTTTTTATAATTGTTTATTTCGAGAGATCAAATGGGATCATTTAAAGTAGATATCTTCTATTAGCTATTTGTATATTAT